TAATGGTAACCTTTCTCTTTCCTTTTGCCTGATAGTCCTTTTGTCCAATTTGATAGAAAAAGTTTCTTCCCACTGTGAGCACCACCCCATCCTTTAATTCATGTTTTGGTGTGTCATGACTCAAGAGTTCAACACCAATTATAGCCTCATATGCATTTGTGTTTGTGGAAAGTAATTTCTCCATGCTAAGTCTTGAGGCATGAACCTTACATTCCCCTTTCATGCTATGTACTGAACATTGGTTATCATTCATCTCACCTAAGGCAAAGTAGGACATATTTAAGGTTAATGAAAATGGAAATGTAATTTAGTTCATCCAATACATGGTTAAGATATTGCTGCCACTTACAGTCACAAAAAAAATAAAAAAAAGGACATACATTTCCTTTTCTTTTGTTCTTTTATGTGGCCATTGCACCTGGTAGAGTATGTACTGGCGGAACAGTTAATCTAGATGACAATGAGTTGGGCCATAACCACCTATGTTCCTAGTTGGGACTACCTACTGTGGTGATTGCCTAACATGATATCCAATGTTTCAGGATTTTCATCAGACCTACCTTTGATTTGCACCAACCAAGAATCGTAGGTAGTTTTTTGTCAATTGAGAAAAGAAAAACCCTTCCAGGAATTTGTCTCATATGCGACTCTCAATCATTTCAATATAATTTCATATATGAGTTCTTATGTTATTAGCATTATGGAATATTGTAATTGTCCTTTCTTGTTAGTATCTGCCAAGCCTGCTTGTAATTATCTGATTTAACCCTATGGTTTTAGGTTTTGACCATGGAGAAATTTGAGCACCTTGGCTTTCTGTTTTACTTTGGTGATAAAGGATCTGAAGGATATCACTTGGGCCAATATGCTCCTTTTTTTGCAAATTCGGATCCTGATATGCCTGCTGTTCCTGTTCCTGCCGCACAAGTTCATGATTGGGTTCTGCAGAATATAGTTTCTTCGTTGGAAAATATTTCTGAAAGAATTTCTCCAAAAGAAAATGGCCCACCCAGTTCCTCAGATCAAGATGTTCCCATGGCTGATGCCTGCACGAGTACAAACAAGGGCTCAATATGTGTTAGAGGTCCAAGTTTTATTGAAGGGATCTCCAAGTCATCACTTATAAAGCAAGCATCTGATCTTAAAGGCTCTTCTGTAAAGGTTTGTTTATAAGGCATATTATACCTTTTCTTTTAATTAATACATAAAATGTAAAGTCCATTTGTTTTCCGATGTCTGCATTTAGGCGATATTTTGTATTTAAACGCTTATCAAGAACTGCAGAACCAGAAGGAATAAAATGGAGAAAATAACTCTTTTTTTTTCCTAACAAGAAAACTCAACTCATTTTTAGGTGAAAATTCTATTTGTTATGTCAAACGATTATCAAGGTGTGAGTTGTATGTAATGATTGCATGTTGCATGTCTCCATGGGGATTCATTCTTGGTCGCTCATGGTTTTGGGCTGTGCTAATGCCCATGCTATGCTTCTGTGTGTGATGGATATAGAAGCTTGAAAGGTTTTGCCAATGTTATGCTTGCAAATTTTTGTTTCCAAATTGACTAACTTATTTGGAATTATTTTATAGATGCATTTGCTTCACCATTGTTCAAGTCTGTTGTGTATAGGGAGGTAGCTTCTCATTCAAGTTGATCCTAATCTTAATTATAAGGCTCAGTGACATGATTTTGAGCCTCATTGTAGCATATTGGAGGGAAGCTAATGCACTTTTTTAATGACAGCATTCTTGTTATGATTTTCTCAATGTGTTCTCCTTCATGATGTGTGCAAAAATTGTGAACTGAGATTGTAATAGGTTCATCGGCTTGCAATTTTTTATTTATGAAATTTATCAGTTTGCTATTAATTTGTTTACAATTGCAGGTTTTAAATTGCCACGATTCAGTTATCTACATATTAGCACCTCTGAGATATGCCACAGTTTATGGATGCTCCGATACTACTATTGTTCTTGGAGCTGTTGGAAAGGTAACACCAAAGGGATTTGTGTTTGTGCTTTGAATAATTGACTGTTGCAATGGTTCTATTGCTGGAAAATCATCTAAGTTTTCTTTTTAAGCCCTTACCTATCTCTCTAATGACTTATTACTGTAATCTGAAGTGATCAACCTGGTAATTACTGTTTTGTATGCAATGGGTGTGGGTCCTTTTGACACATGTTGACTTGAATATTATATCTTAGACAATCTAATGTTTCTTACAGGCTGTAAGAATTGAACACTGTGAGCGAGTTCATGTGATTACAGCAGCAAAACGTATCTGCATTGCTAACTGCCGTGAATGCATGTTTTTTCTTGGGGTAAACCAGAGACCACTTATTGTTGGTGATAACCATAAGTTACAGGTGAGTTTTCACGCCTTAAAGGTGATGCACAATTGTGTTACTAGCTGGTTCTAAGGCTTTGTACAGTATAATTTACATTTGATTGAGTTTCCCCAGGTACTGTTATGCTTTATCTTCTGCATCTGATCTTAATGTGGATTTTTTGGTTAATTGTTGAGCCTATCTGATTGTTTGTAAAACTACCATCGCCATGTAATTTCTTTTTTGTGATCCCATATATCCTACTGTATGCAACATATTTAGTATGTTTCATTGACATGTTATTGGTCACTATGCTTGTCTTATTGAGATTGATATCATCAGCAGTGCACCGTAAGACTTATTTTCATTCTACATTCGATCGCATGCCACCAAATCTAATAGTTCTTCTTGACATGCGTGTAACACTGGAGCATCGAAGGATTTCCTGGAATTTTTTTAAATAAAATTTCTCAATATTAAATGAAATGTCACAGCCCTACGTGCGAAGTTACAGTGAACATAATAATACACACACACCCTCTTAGCCCGGTCTTTGTAACTGATCTTTGCTGACAGTCTTGTACACATTTAGTTGTTATGGTTTAATTCTGAAACATGGTCCTGTTTGCATCGGTTTCTTTTGCTATGTTAAACCTCGGACTTCAAATCGAATACAATATGACTCTAAGAGTAACAAAATTGATAATCTTTACTGTTACCTATCATTAAATTCGTGATCATATGACATATTATATTACATTGTGATGATAGTTTTCTGTGTTTTATTCTTCAAGTTCTAATAAAGAAGATTTTTGTTTTTACCTCCTGCTTTTTTATCAGGTGGCACCCTACAATACATTTTATGGTCAGTTGGAGGAGCACATGAATGAAGTTGGGATTGATGCTACTATCAACAGATGGAATGAACCCCTGGCGCTTGGAGTGGTTGATCCACATGATTCGTTATCTCATCCAGCAGGTGTCTCTGATGCTCAAGCTGAGTCCGGTTCACACTTAGACCCTGAGCAGTTCACAAATTTTTTGGTATATTTTATAATTTTTACTATAGGCTGTTTATTTGTAGATTTGAATAGTGTACTAAAAGTTGTCCTTAGTTCTTGGAAATAATAGTTTTTCATAATTAAACTGAAGAAAACCTTGGAAAGGCTCTAACAACAATCTCTTTAGGCAAAGTCATGTTCTTTTGAGCAATCACACTTGTATTTTCTAATTATTTTTTTTGGGTGGTTGGGAGGAGGGTTGAGATGGTCATGTAGTTGCCATAGAGTCGTTCAATTTCTTTCTGAATTATCTACTCACATCCTATATGCTTCCTTGATGTACAGATTCCAAACTGGTATGGAGGTGAATCAGAGGGCTCCACAAAAGACAACCCATTTCCATTACCAGATATTTATGTGGCATCCCAGCAGAGAAATGTATGTTTACTATAGCTGAGTATACTGACATTAATTTTTATTTTATTTTAACCAAGAATTTCCTGATATTTGTGAGGTCATGTTTTTATCTTTTCATTGTTTTATGTTTTTCTCCAGCAGAACAATTTAGGGGAGGTAAAGCAATTATTGAGGGAAGCACCTCTCGAAGAAAACAGAAAACGGGAATTATCCACTGCTCTCCACGTATATTTTAAAGACTGGTTGTATGGTAATGATCATTTTTATATAGTTTCGTCAAGCTGACACACACGTACTCTATATAGTATTTGTTTGGAACATCATCTGCGCGCTATTTTGCACAGCAAAGTAAACTAACATATCTTACGCTTTGATCTCTCAAGAACTGCTTTGTTGTCAGCATTTTAAACCGCCATTTGCACCTAATAAATCTTGCAAAACAAGAAATCTTATGGAATTTAGTTTTCTTCTAGCCCTTTTTTATGTAGCTTTACTTAAACTATGACTTGATCCGTCTAGACTCAGAAGTGTGTTTATATGCATCTCATCTAATATAATATCATGAGCTTTTCTTGTTATGATGATGGGTACGATGTGGTTTGACAAGCTTATTTAATGCCTGTGACAGCTTCTGGAAATATCCGTCAGCTTTATTGCCTACAAGGAGAATGATTTTTGCGTCATAATGCTGTGGAACAACCAAGAGTGGCATAGAAAGAAGCTTTCTGGTTTTATCTTTCAATCCTACCATGGCCACCTTGCTGTTTCAGATGGTGCCACAGGGCGAATCAACCCTTTGTACTTTGGAATGGTACCCTGCATAATTATGCATTGATACGGTGCACAGGATGGAATCGGAATAACATTCTCTAATCTCCCATTGTAATATTTTTTTTTTTGGAAAGAATAATCTTACTGTAATATTTTGTTAACCTAGGTTCACAGCCTTGTGAATTTTCCTTTTTTATTTTTCATGTGGGTCTAGAATGTTGGATCTCTACTCTAACCTTGAGTTTTGTTCCTTTGTTGCGAGGTTTCGTTTTTAGATTATGTTGCTAGAGTGACTTAGTTCTTTATATCATTTTTTATATATATAAAAATGGAACGTGATCCTGCGGTGTTGTAGACAGTCCTCATGATCTTATTGGTGTGGAACTTGAATAAGGTAGCAAAACTTGTTGAATACGCATAACGATTTCTCTTGATCTCAACCTTATATATATTGGTCTTTGAATCTGTAGTTATGAGATTTCACTGGACAGAAATAAAGTTACTTTTATTTAGATTTCATTTTTGACTAGATAAATGAGAGTTCGAATTAATCAAATTTTCCGGTGAGTTTCCACCAAATTTACACTGAAAAATGTACAGCCTTTTATACATCGATACAAGCTATGGTCCTTTGGATGTTGTGTTGCAGATTCCTGAAAAATCTCCACTTACTCAAATCACTTGATGGGGTTGGAGAGAACTGCAAAACTTTACGATAAATGTAAGCATCTTGTGGCGGCTAGGTGGTTTGGAAAATTTGGAGTATCTTCTCAGCTTGATCGGGGAAGAAAGTGATGAATAAGTATGCACCTGGCATTTGATCAAGTAGAAGAGACAAGTGAATCTCATCTCAAGGACCAACACAACAGCACAAGTGTTCATAAGGGTGTACAGAACAAAAGAACTTACAGATTAGTACTGTTCCAAGTACAGCTGAAATCTTCCCTTGAACGGTGACTAAACCGGCTTTGCCGGCATTTTGCAACTCCGCGGAACCAACAGAATCAAATGCTCCTGGTATAGGAAAGAGAAGCCATAGCATCTGTTAACTTCACATAGAAGATAATCCGGAGAGAGCAAAAGCAATGGGATCAAAATCCTGATTACCTGGTTTTACGGATTGAAGTCCTGATGTTATACATGCTATGTTTTCGAACCCGGCTTGCTCCAACTTATTGGCAGCAGCAGTAGACCTTGACATTAGAAAGAAACAGAATAATCCTATCAAAATAGTTTAGAATGGGCAAAACCTTTGCCTCAATGCCTCAGTGACGAGAAGAACTTCTATGCAACGGGAATGCCATTGTGACGATATCCCAAGCCAATCAAGCACTGTCATGTGCTTAACTTTCTCTGTATACAGCCACAATGCATGATTGGCTCGGAATACAGCCACAGTGCATCCCCAGAGCAGGTACGATTCTCTTAGTGATAGATACATTTACAAATATATTAAGCCAAAAACTTAGCAGCTAGCATACATAAAAAACTAACCTCAATCCTTCCTGGCACACCAGTAACAGTTTACTTTGAGGTGAAAACTGGGATTTAACAGATTGTACAAATTCAGGGTTGGGTTTAGTGAAAGGCAACCCATAGAACAGACCAGAAAAGTTGTTGTGGAGAGTCCTCTTTATGATTGTGCCTGCCCATTACATCTGAATCATTAGCAAGAACAAAATCCCATGTTGTTTTATGGGGTTCCAAACAAAAACCATTATATGTTCAGTTGAAGAAAATAGAAAGAAACAAAAAATCCCTCAATTACCGGGGTCATTGTCTTCGTTTGCAATGAAAAGAGGGACATGATGGCATGATTTGATATGAGCTCGTTCAAATTGAGATTTGTCCCGAACATCAACAACTGTGTACCCATCAACTGCAATAAGTTCTTTTGCTTCTTCTGCAGTCACAAAATTCACTTTTGCTCTAATGGCCAAAGTTCGACGACGGTATGATGTCCCTAAGATGGTTCCTCCACCATGAGTTTGAGTCTCAAATTTCAACCAAGATGTGCGGAAATTGCTGCAAATGAAGGAAAAAAAATAAAATAAAGAAATAAACATTATCTGGCTCAGCAGTTGAATGCTTCTCTGTATCTCATAATGTTTGAAAAGAAGAGAGAGATGAGTTTTAGTCTGTTTTTAGTTTTCTACACTTTCTCAGCAACCAAACAAGAAAACCCACCACCGAGAATTTCAGAAGTGTTGAGATTGTTGAGCTAGTCTTACTAAAAAGGAAGTTGAAGATGTGTAGAATTGTTGTACATAAAACAAGACAGGCAATGCTTTACCTTGTGGAAGAGAGAGTTGAACAACAAGAGCCAATCCCTGCCAAGGCTGCCATCGTTGTGGTTCCCTGGAAGCTAGAAGAAGCCTTGTGTCTCTTCTCTCTCTGTCTCTCTCTGCTCACTGTCCACTCAATGAAAAAACATCCCAGAATGGCCCAAGAAATTTGGGGAGGGCAATGGGTTGGTGCCACGTGGCAACTGGTTTCGGATATTAGATATGTCGCACCGGATCTTTTTGCGGGTTCTTTTTATTAGAGAAATTTATACAACTCTCAATAACTGATCTCATGACATGATTTTTTCAAATTCACCAAATCAGATTGGTCGGAAGTAAACCAGTTTGAATTCGGTTTTAAGAGTCTTGGACTGGCAATTTACCAAATCAGACAAATTTTTTCAAATTTGGATTTATTTTTTTTACACGGGGAATTGTTTCATTAGTTTCCCTTGAATCTTAAAGTGAACCAAACCACACTCATTGGTTTCTCTTTAATCGAACTAAAACGAACCGATACTTCTTCTTCCAACATTTAAAAAAGATACAAATTTATAAATCAACCCAATCCTAGACATGTATTTATAAAAAAACTCAAGCATTATTTAAATATAGAAACACACCCAAAATTAACCCCAAAGTCAACTTTTTGGGTGTGTTTATATGTTTAAATAGTGCTTGGGTTTTTTTATAATTTCAACCCCCATTTTAGGTGTTTTAGTGAAACTCTCTAAAAAAGAAGCACCACTATACTTAGTTGGTATGCCTTAATCTATTCTAGGAAATATCACAATCCATTATCACAATAGAGAGTTGAGAGCAAGAAGCTAACGATACTTTTTGTAAAACTGTTCTTATCACGTGACACATATTAATTACATAATAAATAGTCCTATTTTCTTGAATTTATGTGTTTTTATTACTAAAGATAATTTAAATTATAAAAAAAATGAATTAAATTCAAGTCTAAAGAACAGACAAGTTGTCTTAGCAACTGAGATTTTTTCTTTCTTGAATTTGATAGGCAGTATGTAGGCAGCGTTTGGGTTAAGGATCAACTCTTAAATAGAAAAATGTTTCAACTCATGGTAATATTGGATATTCTTTTTAGTATTAATTTTCATTTTTTATATCTTTCCCATTTTATACGAAACAAAGAAGTGTATTTTCTGTCGATAAGTCAAGAAGATTGACTAATAACAACGGAAAAGACCAGTAGAAACAAAGTCATTGACAATACCTACATACAGGGTCTCTTCATTTTATAATGAAGGAGGATGATGTATATAAAACTCAAACTTGATGTATAAATTGTAGAGAGAGATCGAAGGGAGAGAGAAAGAGAGAGAGGATGGGATTTTTATCATCAATCTGTTGCTGCCTTCATGGTGCTCGTGTATTCAACCAAGGATCAGCAGCTGCCACAGCCCCAGAGAGGCAGCCTCTGACTTTGAGTCCTAATTTTGTTCAAACTGAAGCTCCAGTGCCGATTCTGGTTCCACACTTTCCTGTCAACTCCAAGCTCTATCATATGTAGAGAGATTATGTACTCTTCTTGTTCTTGAGAAGAGGGCAACTTTTTTTTTTTTTTTTTTTTTTGGGTGTGTTTTTTTGGTCTTTTTTTCATCTGTTTATTTTCAGTTTTTTGGGACAACAAAGTTTGAACTCTAATGTAAACTTGTCATATCTTATTAACGTAAACTTTTGTATTTGAGGTTATGTACAAGGCAATAAGATCGATGGGAATTGGTGGGTGAATTGAAGAAACTTCACCTCTAATTTTCTGGTTTAAAGGTTAAAGTATTTCCTCTCAGTTTTAGGATGGTGTTACTTTCTCAAATTCATAGATGGTGGTGGTGACAAGAGGGGAAAAATGGCATTAATCTCCAGTTAGTTGGAAGTAAATACACACCGTCGATGATCATTTGGTCTGATTAATCTTCATTTCGTTGGAAGAGGTCGTGAGTTAATTGCAAAATCCGTTGTCATTAGTTCACAGCGATGCTTAACAACTGTCAATAATTGGAATTGAAACCAGTCCAATTATTATTGAATTTTCTTACAAAATAATATATGTTCGCTCAACTTACCAACGGCATATTTGAACGCAAATATGAAAAAAAGCAGATTTATTCAAGACATCCATTCAAGGTCAAAAACTTAAATTTGGACAACAGAGAAAGAGAACTAAGAGTACGATTACATCTCCAGAAATACATCCAATTCATGAAACAGTTTTCTCTTTTCGTTAGCTTTGCCAATATCTTCCTCCAAGAGAAGCACTGGTAAGTTTTTATGAATCGGCAGTGGATCTTTTCTTGGTGGTGTAAGGATAGTACTCCTTGCCGTTATCGATTCTTGTTGTCTGACCTCCAGCATCAATGAGTGAAGAAGTGACCGCTAAGGCTGCCCCAGCAGAAATTGCAGTTGAAATGCTCTTTCCTGTCCAATGGACAGCAAATAATTTAACATAATTGAGAACATTGGAGGCTTATGAGAACAACTACCAGCTAGCACAGTAAATATCCATATATCAATTTAGAACCTAGAGTCCAAAGTCCGGATTCATTTACCCCCAAATACGTCAACTCTACATGCTCAATAATCAAAATGAAGATAAGATCAAACCAATAATGATAAGAACGTTCATTGAGTGGAAAGAATATTTGGGCAAGCAGACAGACACATTAAATTAGGAGGATTAGAAAATAAACTACAAATTTCATTAATGAATGGAGATCTATAGGTCATTTATGCATTCTGTATGAGCTGAAAGAAAGTGAGAAGTGCTAGTAGTGTGATTCCCAGACACAAGGATGTTTTGCTTCTTTCAAACCAATCCATCTCGATTATTGCAAGTGTACTCTGCTAAGTAAGAACTCAGTGTATGCTCTTCAAATTCAAAATAGACTCAGCCCCTTAAATTTATATAATAGCAACACAAGTTTTGGACCTTTAGATGAAAGTACATTGAATGGCTCATATTAGCTCTTAGAATATGAGAATCACTGGAAAAACATCTTGAAAACTAATTTTGTTTACCCAACTAATCTTAGCCATTCAATGTGCTTTCATCTAAACGCCCAGTGCATGTTTGAGAAACAAGGCTAAAAATTGTCGACAATACAGAGATAATTTGAGCCATTAAATGTGCTTTGGAAAATTAAAGGAGCTGTTGATCCTAACCCTAGATTTTACCCATAAATGGATATCTTCTTTTAAGGTTTAAGCAATATTAGGATAGGAAGAAATAAAACTATACATGTACTAATTCCAGAGCAACTAATGAGGTTCACGTGAAAGTGAATTACTGAGACAGTTTCTCTTAGTTTGGACTGGGGATCTTAAATAAACTTTTCAGCAAAGTAAAAGCTCTCACCACTAACATTCTCAAAGTTCCATTAAATTCTGCGTCCATGTATTAAAAATATAGTGAAACCTTAGCCAAATCACTGTTGATAATTACACGATTTACACAAAATATATCACCAAAGGCTAAATGAGATAGGTTGCTGCCAGCAATTTATTCTTCCAAAAAATTCAAACCTCAAAGATAGTTCCTGCTCTCTGCTGACATTTGTATGACATGAAACAACAAACTACCTATTCCATATCATTTATACGGTCACAGCAATGTTCTCACTCTCTCACTCAACATTAGTCCAAAACACATAATACATCTATCATCATTACAGAAAATATTTTCGACCTAAATGCAATTTGACCCTCACATATCTAAGAACTTTTTCTCGTGTATCCATACAAATCATACAGTAGTTATCATACATAACAATCATCTAGCTTAAAGGGTGACGTCATCAGAGCCAGCTCCACATGATTTTCACCAACATGCCTTTCTTTTTGTTGGAAATATTAGATACATGTAATAGATAGTTTGTAGCAGGATCCAATAAATTTTGGATAAGTTATACACACTCCTTTCTAACCAGCATATGTGTCAAATTTATTGGTCTCTATTTCTATAGCATAAGCCACCTCAATCCCATAGTCTTATCAGTCAAAACTAACCATTTATGAAGATTATACATGAAGCTTATGACATACTTCAACAAAGAGAACATTGAACACAAATCTTTCTCCTAAAAACTTAATCCCTATTTTTGGAAAAGTAAAATCCAATTTGGTTAGAAGAAATACCAATAAATAAAAAGAAAAAGAAAGACTGACCTGGAATATTTGAAAAAGATCATGTCTGAATTAGCTTTTAGTTGTGACCAAGTATAGTAATTACCACAGATT